GAAGGATACTATAAAATCCCCATGCAGAGGTGGTATTTGCCGGTTCTTCAAACTACTCAAAATTTCTGCTACTGGTTCTCCGGAACTGGTCAGAACCTGCTGAATGCAAATTATCACAACGGATATAGTGAAACTCACACTTGGACAGAAATTTATTATTATGATTTTCCATATTGGGTTATTTGGGATATTGAATGTACATAACAACATTCATTTGAGAATTGAGACTAGTCTGCAGTAGGAACTCAAGCTAAGCAGCTAGGTTGTGATTCTTACCTGGATGACTCTGTTCATACAATGGTTAGGAGTTTATGTACCTGCAGTTCAGAATGGTTCCTGACATAGGTGTTACAGAGTGAGAGGGAACAGGCAGGCAAACAATGAAATTTGCATTGTGATATTGGCATGCAAACCATATGATTCATGTACTCGTGTTCAACCTCAGGACATAAATATGGGAAACTACATTGCGCGCACTGAGCCCATTATATGATTACTCTTTCATCATTGCGATCTGTGTTTCCAAATCTTTTAATAGGGCACCCAACACACCAACCTCTATTGACACCAATATATTTGCTCGACCTCTGTTTGAAGGTCTTTATATTCCCCTATTCTTTCTCACTGACCCTTCTACTGGTAGCTCCTGCAATGATAATTATCCGTATTTGTTTCTTCAAAACTACAATTATAACTTATTATGGTTCAGAAACATATCAGTTTGTGTTTGGGTGTTCTTCAGGATTTTAACTTCTTTGTGTTAACTTCTTTGTGAAATGTCACACGACGGAAACATGATGCAGTGAGTTTGACACCAGTGGTATAGGATCTCCTGCTTGAGCAAAAGGCTGGACTAGAAGACCTTCAATGTCCCTTCCAGCTCTATTCTGATAGATTGTTCACTATCTTCACCACCATTTCTTCCTCTTCTATCTCCTCCTCCTCCTCCTCCTCCTCCTCCTCCTCCTCCTCCTCCCTTTTCATTGTTAGAGGGTGTGAGATTTTCTTCCTAAAGTGCCTTCATGGATTCACTGTATCCTGTGAATTGGGGAAGGAAACACCATTTGGTGCTCCACCTCACAGACCAAAATGTCTTTCCTCCTGGCCACACACCCCCTCCCCCGGGCTCTTTACGATACAGCTCAAGAGATGCTCCCAGTTGGAAGAAGCAGAGTATATATCCCATGCTTGGTTAAATACAGGTTAAGTTCAAAATAAACACCTTCTTTTGAAATACATGCACTGACATGTTTCATGCTAGAAGTTTCTGAGGCATCCAGATAAAGCTGGATTTGACAAACTCCCATCAAGATAGCCTGAAATATTTTAAACAGTCCTTAAAGAAGATAGATTTTGCTTAGATTTTTTAAAATAAACCATTGATTTCTTTCTTATTATAATAATTATTATAATTCATCTCATTACTAGAACTGGAATTAGAAAACGTGTTATATAAACAAATGCCTTAGCTATGCATGGTTTCTTGCTTATTTTTAAAGGAGATTTTTTTTAAACTTACAATAAAACTATCCTTAATGAGTGTTTGCAAAGCAAATATTTATTTCAGTACAGTAGCCTATGTATTTGTAAAAGGGTAAAGATCTCTCTCTCTCCCTCTCTCTGAGAGAGAGAGAGAGAGAGAGAGAGAGAGAGAGAGAGAGAGAGAGAGAGAGAATCTCCTTTAAAAATAATAACAGCAACAGATGGAAAAGATTTTATGAATACATTTTTGCTTAGAAGAGCTTCCAATCCGGAATTTGAAATGCAGGCAATTGTATTAGTAGCTACATGTAAATTTGCTTTAAAGACTAGTTTTCAAGAAGATTTTTAGAAATTAGTTGCCTTGCAGAAGAATGTTGGCTAAGTGTGCTCCCCTCCCCCTGTTTCAAAGTCTTTGTTTAATAACGTAGGAAATTTGTTTGTTTGTTTTACCTAAGTTTCCTTGAAAGTGACACAGAAATTACAAACATTCATATGCAGAGTCTTACAAGTTATGGTATCTTGGATGAGTTTGGGCAACTAATAATTGCTGGGGTGGGATATTTTTTCCCCTATCCTATATTCTGTTTCTCCAGAGCCCTTTTGCATTAAAGAATGCAAACTGAATCTGAAAAACTTTTCCAACCATCAATTACATATTTTGACTTCTCAAGCTACAAAATTGGGGCTGCATTACGCAATGGTTGTTTCTGATATGTCAAAAGACTGATCATTTAAGGTGGTTATTTCTTGTCCATTTCTGAATTTTGATCTACTGCCTTGGGGTTTCCTGGTGGGTGCCCCTCCAAGTACTAACCATGTCAAACCCTGCTTAGCATTTAGAGATGAGCCAAAGGACGATAATCAGAGATATATTCTCTGAGTTAAAGCCTTCCCTAAAACAAAATTGATGTTAAACAATGGGTGTCTATATGTCAGGGCGAATTAACTAATATTACATTTTTGAAAGTGAATATTTGAATATCCCCCCCAAAAAGCACCACATGTACAATATGTGGAGGAATTATATCATAGAAGCCAAGAAATTGAGTCTGTGCTTGCCATACACAAAACTTGGATATGGCTCCCTTGGATATAACCTTAAGAAGTTGTTACCAAAAAGAATTATAAATACTAAAGACAGTCTGGAGATTGTTCTGAATCCATTCCTTGCTACTTTCTAGTTGTTCCCATGTTTGGGAAATATTTGAAAAGGTGAACAGTGTGGGTAAGCATAAACCCCAATGTGATTTAGAAATATTCACTGTTAAACAGGTGTGAAAGATGGAGAACCTAGATCAAATATACAGGTAGTTCTTGACTTACAACTGTTCATTTAGTGACCATTGAAAGTTACAATTGGACTGAAAAAATGACTTATGACTATTACCACCATTGCAGCATCCCCATGTGTTGTAGCCTGCTAGTGGCCAGCAGAGCTGGCGGCAGACTCGGATAGTGAGAAGAACATGGGCCAGTCCTGGAGTCTGGGGAAGGTTCTGATGAGTGCTCTGTGTTGGATGCAGAGATGCAGCCAGTGCCGTCTGACAGTTATCAGCTGCCTTCGGAGTCAAACATCAGTGGGGCAGAAGAACAGCTGGAGCCTATTCCTGATTGTGCATGCACCGAGCTGCCAGGAGAAGGGAACAATTAAGGAACAAGTGTTGACTTGGGAGTAAAGGCTCAGGTGGATGGGTGGGGGGGCGAGTGGTGTTTGCAGGAGACAATTAGTTCATTTAATTAGGGTGAAGATTAGTTCGTGACTCCTTACCAAGTATTTTCTGGTACAGCCTTGCCCTTGGAAGCTATCGGCCTGGCAACTCTCCAAGCCTGATAAAGGTCTGTAGCTGTAAATCACTCTTGAAGGATCGTTTGCTGGGGTTTTGCTGGATGTGAATGAGAGGAATACCGTAATAAAAAGGGTTTTGTCAAGACAAGGAGTCTGCTTCTGCTTTGTGATTTTGTGAAGCCTAGGTCAGAACACCATGGTCACCTGATCAAAATTTGGAAACTTGGCAACTGGCCTGTATTTATGACCACTGCACTGTCCCGGGATCTTGGGAAAATCTTTTGCAACCTTCTGGCAAACAAAGTCAATGGGAAAGCCAGATTCAATTAACAACCGTGTTAATAACTTAACAACTGCATGGATTCACTAAACAAATATGGCGGGAAGTCATAAAAAGGGGCAAAACTCAACTAACCACTGGCTCGTTTAGCAACAAAAATGTGTGGCTCCAATTATAGTTGTAAGTCAAGACTATCTGTAGCCAGTTTAACTTACTCAGAATTTAAAGTAATTTTGCTTCCCCATAAAGGTGTCTGAACGGTAGGCTAAAAATAAATAAAATAAAAGCCAAAATGGTAGCCACAACAGTATGATTGAACCTCAGCTTGTTTTTATCTGCATGGTAACATAGATAGATAGATAGATAGATAGATAGATAGATAGATAGATAGATAGATAGATAGATAGATAGGCAGAGCTTTGATTCCACCATTGCATCCGCCATCTTTAATTTATCTCGTTTCCCCAACAACAAATGAAGGGTTGGGTAGCTTGTTCCCCAAGGAATTCACCACTGGTATTCCCATAAGGCTTGGGCAGTTTAGGAAATCCAGAGATTCCTTGGTAATTTATTCCTCAGCAAGGTCATATCAGAATGGGGTCAAATTTGTTTTATTTTATCAGAAATTAGTAGCCATAGCGTTTTCCTGACTCCTACTGCACTGGTAGAAAAATTGAGAAAACAATAAAAAATGGCAGTCAAAAAACATGTGTTTGAATGAATGTTTGAGAAATCTTCCTTTTTTTTTTTTACCTTCAGCTGATTGATTGAGGTATGATGAGAATACAGCCAAAGCATCTTTCTCTCTCTCCCTCTCCTACCCCTATACACACACACACACACACACACACACACACACACACACACAAAATTGGTGAACTTAAAAAGTACTCTGTATTATAGTTAGAAAAGGGACCAAGTATAATAATTATTATAATTCATCTCGTTACTAGAACTGGAATTGGAATTGGACAATGTGTTAAATAAACAAATGCCTTAGCCATTCATGGTTTGTTGCTTATTTTTAAAGGAGATGTTTTTTACCTGCAATAAAACTATCTTTAACAAAAGTTTGCAAAGCAAATATTTATTTCAGTACAATAGCCTATGTATTTGTAAATGGGTAAAGATCTCTCCCTCCCTCCCTCTCTCCCTCCCTCTCTCTCCTTCTCTCTCTCTCTCTCACACACACACACCTGCAGATAAAATTGGTGCCCTTAAAATTACTCTGAATTATAGTTAGAAAAGGGACCAGGTATGCACACACCTAAATGGAAATATGTATCCACATAAGCATTTACACTGTTGATCACCCAAACAGAGATTGCCTTTTGGTGCTGACTTCCACAATTAAATTAAGATTCTATGCAGAGACACTATTGTAGGGGGAAAAATGTAATACACACACAGTTGTACAAAAATATTTTATTTATTAAAGTAAAAATTGTACTAAACAACCTATATTTGAAATGCATTGAATTATTGCTAGAATAAATACAGGCAATAAATTCAAAAAAAAATTAATAAAAGGAAATGAATTATTTGACACTCAAACGTTATTACCCCAAAGCTTTAATTTATACAATATAAATAGTTAAAAGGCAAAATCAAGTTTCTTTTTTTCCCCCACTTGTGTTGTTTATTTGTTTTGTTTCCTTTTTTTAAAAAAAATTAATACTGATCCATTCAATTGCTAAAAAGGGTTTGTCTGTGCCCAGCTGAAGCATATATTAAAAATAAATTTGCAAGCCAGCATGCTTGTCTCCATATCACAGACAAATAAAAGGGAAGTGTGTTGCACATCATTTTATGGCAGAGAAAGAAGCAAGCCTTCATCTTAATAAAAGATGGTTGAAGAGGTGTCTGAAATCAGATGAATGTATTTTCCACAATCCAGTTAAGAAACTAGACTTGCAAACCAGTGTGGTGCTGATAATACTTCAGTAAATATCCTTTGAAAAATAGTATTATATGATTTTGCCCACCCGGTAGGCATTAGGCCCCCCAAAATTATTTTTTTAAACTAGAACCATACTTACAGGCATAAGTAAAACAAACTTTGTTTGCAAATGTGAACATCAGCGTTTCTCAATGTTAACCATTTTAAGACTTCAACCCCCAGAAGTCAAGAAGCTGTTTGGGGAATTCAGGAAGTTAAAGTTTACACATCTTCAAATGGTCAACGTGTGAGGAAAAGGCTGGTATGGGTGAACTTGGAATAGATGGAATTACTACAGCCTGTGTCCATGTTTATTCATTTCACAAAGTTACATCTAGTGTGCTCATGTTACCTTGGAGTAAATCACATTCAGGGTTTTATAGTAAACACTTATGAGATTATATTATTAATCACATCTCTGTATTGAAATCAATGGGTCATTAGACTTATTTAAATAATCTTCCATAAGCTGGCATTCTACTGATTGGCAAGATTGAAGTTTCCAGCCACCCTTAAAGCCAATTGCCACGCTGATTGAGAATCCTGGATGGAAAATGTTTAAGATGAGATATTGGGTTAATATGTGACTAACCTAATTTTAGATCTAGCTAATGTGTTTAAAAACTTGGGAAGTAAGGAATTACCTTAAAACTCCCTTTTCAGTTTCCAAACTGGGATCATTTGGATTGAAAAATGATCTTCAAATTCCTTTTAGATCCATTTCTTATGTGAATTTTTTTTTAAAAAAATCACTTTTATTAATATTGATTTAATGTTGCTGTGGTTTGTGAATTTTTTGGTTTTATTTTAATGAAATTTCTGTACCTTTTAAATATTTCTGTGTAACACAGGAAGCAAGAATATTGGACCCTGGCTATCAAACTGCTACATGATTGAGTACCTTAATTAGTATCTTGGACTATGTCATGTGTTCACAGCTAGATTTTTAAATTACCTTGCTCCAAGATAGCAAAGCAATAGCATTTAGACTTATATACCTCTTCATAGTTCTTTACAGCACTCGCTAAGTGGTTTACAGAGTCAGCATATTGCCCTCAACAATGTGAGTCATTCTATTGACCTCGAAAGCATGGAAGGCTGAATCAACCTTGAGTCGGTCAGGATCGAACTCCTGGCAATGGGCAGAGTTAGCCTGCAATACTGCACTTTAACCACTGCTCCACTGCAACTCCCAAAGATCCTCACTGATTTCGGTGAAACAGAGATTATGGGATTTATTCATCTGAAATATATACTGTTTTGTAATATCCAGAGCACCTGAAGGCAGGACAAGAAGCAATGGATGGAAACTAACCAAAGAGAGAAACAGCCTAGGACTAAGAAGATATTTCCCCACAGTGAGAACAATTAATCAATGGAATGCCTTGCCTCCAGAAGTTGTGGGTGGCTCCATCACTGGTGGTTTTTAAGAAGAGATTGGACAACCTTTTGTCTGGAATGGTATATAGTTTCCTGCTTGAACATGGGGCTAGACTAGAAGATCTCCAAGGTCCCTTCTAACTCTGTTATTCTGTTACTTCTGGGAGGGGAAAACAATTGCACATATCTATCCCTTTAGCCTTAATGGTTCAGCATGTCCTTCAGTACAACCCACAATGAACACAAAGAGTTGTGCATAGTCACTCAGAGAAAAGAATTCCCAGGAGAATGTAGGGCAGCACTCTGCAGATGTAACAAATAATAAAATTATTGGAAGGAAACTGGGATGTTAGACATGGAGAGCTACGGTTCTGGCTGTTCTTATCAAAACGATGAAAGAATTGTTGCAATACAAGCCCCGCCCCTTTTGTCCATGCAAGTGATGTCAGAATGGCTCTACAGAAGGGGCGTGGCTTGCAGCAGTGTGATGCGCTATCATCAGATGGATTGGTTTCACCGAGGCTTAAGGTAACAGAGAGCAAGGGATGAGATTCATACGAAAACAACACTTGGTGGACTGATGTAGAAGACCTTTTTAGAAGTTTCCCTCACTGTTTTTCTGTCCCCATAAACTGAGAACCAGATTGCTTTTTCCAAATAAAATTAAAGCAAGTCACACATGTTTATATATGCTGTAATAGAAATAGCCATTCATCCATTGAAAAATATAGAAGTTAAGTTTTAATTCTTTAAAAAAAAAAAAAAAAAACACAGAGCATCCATTTTCACATTGTGGGCAAGGGTGTTCTCGTTTTTAAACCTTTTATTTTAAAGTAACAATTCTTCAACACCTATTTAGAAAAGAAGGCTGTTAAGTAGGGTGGGAAGAAAATATTTTTGGCAGTAATATAAAATACGAGTTTTTTTAAAAAAAAATGGTGTAAAAGGTAAACAAAGACAAATTATTACAATGATATAAAAATACAACTGGGTCATCCACTCTTATAAAAATTGACTTTGGAATTGCATTTGACAGTTTCACGTTTACACACAAACACACACGCAACACACACACACGTGTCACATCATTATAAAAAAAAAAATCACAGAACAATGCAAAGAAGTTTATAAATTATGGTTGCAAGGGGCCATCAAATTCTTTGCCTGTGTCTCCAAAACTCCCTTTCTTCTGTGTCTGTCCATATCAGAGTGAGTAATGAGGTATATAGGACATTAACACTTTCGGACATACGTGTGATAGAAGAAAGTGCATTTTCAGAGACCACCCATAGGAATGGGTTGAATCCGTGATTTTTATCCTCCTCCCCCTACCAAAAAAAAAAGGCACAATCACATTTTTATTTTTTGTTTTTTGTTTTTTTTTGTTTTTTTCTCTTTTGCTTTGGCATGCTTCGTTAATGTTCAAGTCCAAGCAGCAGTAATCTTTTCCCCTTAGCGATGTCAAATTCAGTGCCACCAACTCTGAAAAGGTTTATTTTCATGTCTCTTGGGGGAAAAAAAAAACTTTGCTAAGGGCAGCAAAGGTGAAACAACAACAAGAAGAAAATGTCCATGCTGGTAAAATCACACATCAAGAACCATGTCGTATTGTTGTTCCTTCTTCCGCCGGCCACATTTAGTGATAAGAGCTAAATATAAAGTCAAAAGCATCACCCAGTAGCAGGCGTAAAGTATTGTGCCAATGATCAGCACTGTCTGTTTTGATTCGGAAAATGGCTTTCTAGTTTCCTTGTATATGGTGAAAATAACCCCGCCTAGAAGGATTGTAAACCAAACAGACACGGGGATGAGTCCTATGAAATTGACCACAATAGTTTTTCGGCCAGATGTGCCCCATCCTGCCTTGTTTATGGTGGCGATTGCAAACATCTTGGCGGGAAGTAAACTTGACATGTACAACACTGAGTAAAGGGACATAAACACCATGACAATGTTCCCTCTAAGGCAGCTTGCAAAGGAAGACTTGATGAGGCCAACAAGTTGAACAGTCAACAGGAAGAGAAGTATGTTCCACAGTTTCCCCCGGTAAAAAAGTTGTATGACAGTGGCAATGAGAAAAAATGGAAAGAACCCTGTGATGACTGCCTCGTAGGTCATCCACAAGTGGTGCTTGTGGAACCACATGGCGTTGTACAACCACTCGCGGAAGTAGGACTTACTCCAACGGGTCTGCTGGTTCAACCATCTGAGATATTCGATGGGTGTCTCTGTAAGGCACTTTGATCGAGCGGTGTACTTTGTCGCGTAGCCCAGGCTCAGGACTCTGTTGGTGAGATGTCGATCGTCTCCAAAGCTACACTGAGAGCCCATGAATTCTTGATTATACCAATCTTCCACAAATTCATGGAGTAAGGAATTCCTGTACATTCCTAAGGGTCCACTGATACACTGTACACAGCCAAAGTAGGACTGGCACGCTCGTTCAATATTAAATGCCATCCAGTACCTGACACTGCTGAGAAAGGAGATCCATGAATCGTACTTGTTCAAAATCTGCAAGAGAAGGTTAAAGATTAGTTCCTGAAACAAAGACAACAAGATTATCCTTGATAAAGCTATCAATGTTATTTTTAATATTGTAACATGGAAGGTCCCCCATTTATTGTTTTCATTCATCAGCTCTTATACGCATAAGAATAACAAATGTATAATAACATTTCTCAAGATTTTAGGATGTCCCAAAAGTTTTTATTGCTTTTGCTGCCATAGTAGGCAGTCTTAATAGTATAGTATAACCTCTTATCAGTTATAATGTCTTACCAGTTAATGACTATTTCAGCTTTAACCACAACAACACAAGAGCACACAACAGATATAAACTTAATGTAAACCACTCCAAACTTGATTGCAGGAAGTATGATTTCAGCAACAGAGTGGTCAATGTATGGAACTCACTACCTGATTCTATTGTCGCATTCTCAAACTCCCACTCCTTTACCCTCAAACTAGCCTCTATTGACCTCACCCCATTCCTAAGAGGTCTGTAAGGGGCATGCATAAGCACACCATCGTGCCTACCGTCCCTGTCCTATTGTCCCCAATTATTCGTACCTATTTCATGTATTTATACTTATGGGGTTATTCTTATTTCTATTATATTGTAAGCATTTGACAAATCAAATAAATCAAATAAAATTAATAGTAAATTAAGCCAAGAGTTCCAAAGACCTAATATTTTAGTTTGAATAGATAGCTTTGCTTTGCTTTGCTTTTTGTTATTCTGATTAAGGGAGTTTAAATTCAATCTTCTCTAACTGATCAGACCAATAACTACTATGATAGTACTTAATATGTATTCAACAAATTTATATGTCACCTTTTTCTGATGGACAGGTAGTCCTTGATTTATTATCATAATGGAGCCTGCCTACTAGTTCTAATCCCACTTTAGGCACAAAACCAGCTGAGGAATATTGGGCCAGTCACTCTGACACAGGAAGGAGACCAGGACAAACTGGTTCTGAAATCTTGCCAGGTAAACTGCAGAGACTTGTTCAAGCAGTTACAAAGAAAGCACAAAAAATGTCATCCTAAAGTCAGTAAGATTACTGTATTCACCTGTACGTCTCCCCCAACACCACCAACCATGGGATCTTCTTCTAAAACCTTCACCATTTCCACCGAAGAAGCTGGATCGAGCATCGTGTCTGAATCACATACCTATCCATTAAAAAAAAGCACATAAAAAAATTAAGAGATCAGGGACAAGATTGTTGAAGGAAAAAAAAAAAAGAACTACAAGCAATTGCATAGTTAAATAATAATGCTTGCCTGTTGATGATATTTTCTCACTGGGTTTCCCAGGAAATCCCATAATGATTACATCCGATACTGTGACTGGGAATTCTTTAGCAATGGATTAGAAATGCAGAACAAGTACACCACAATGTAAAATGTACCACGGTGCCTTTAGAGTATTGGACAAAGAGACTTGTGAAATAGAATAGAATAGAATAGAATAGAATAGAATAGAATAGAATAGAATAGAACAGAATAAGAATTAGAATTAGAATTAAAATTCTTTATTGGCCAAGTGTGATTGGACACACAAGGAATTTGTCTTGGTGCAAATGCTCTCAGTGTACATAAAAGAAAAGATACATTCATCAAGAGTCAAGAATCATAAGGTCACAGAGAACAAATAAGCAATCAAATCATACTAGGAAACAGTCAATATAGATTGTAAGGATACAA